ATCTTTAGAATATGATCACAACCAATAACAAATCATTTAAACTGGTTTATTCTTATCTTACCTAGTTAGCATTCTTTCTTTTTATGTATATTTATTCTCTCTCTCGCTCTCTCTCGCTCGCTCTCTCGCTCGCTCTCTCTCTCGCTCTCTCGCTCTCTCGCTCTCTCTCTCTCGCTCTCTCGCTCGCTCTCGCTCTCTCTCGCTCTCTCGCTCTCTCTCTCGCTCTCTCGCTCGCTCTCTCGCTCTCTCGCTCTCTCGCTCGCTCTCTCGCTCTCTCGCTCTCTCGCTCGCTCTCTCTCGCTCTCTCGCTCGCTCTCTCTCGCTCTCTCGCTCGCTCTCTCTCTCGCTCGCTCGCTCTCTCGCTCTCTCGCTCTCTCGCTCGCTCTCTCTCGCTCTCTCGCTCGCTCTCTCTCTCGCTCGCTCTCTCGCTCTCTCGCTCGCTCTCTCTCTCGCTCGCTCTCTCGCTCTCTCGCTCGCTCTCTCTCTCGCTCGCTCTCTCGCTCTCTCGCTCGCTCTCTCTCTCGCTCGCTCTCTCTCTCGCTCTCTCGCTCTCTCGCTCTCTCGCTCTCTCGCTCGCTCTCTCGCTCTCTCGCTCTCTCGCTCTCTCGCTCGCTCTCTCGCTCGCTCTCTCTCTCGCTCTCTCGCTCTCTCTCTCGCTCTAGCTCTCTCTAGCTCTCTCTCTCTCTCTAGCTCTCTCTCTCTCTAGCTCTCTCTAGCTCTCTCTCTAGCTCTCTCTCTCTCTAGCTCTCTCTCTCGCTCTAGCTCTAGCTCTCTCTCTAGCTCTCTCTCTAGCTCTCTCTCTAGCTCTCTCTCCCCAGCTCTCTCTCTCTCTCCCCAGCTCTCTCTCTCTCTCTCTCTCCCCAGCTCTCTCTCTCTCTCTCCCCCAGCTCTCTCTCTCTCTCCCCAGCTCTCTCTCCCCAGCTCTCTCTCTCTCTCTCTCTCTCCCCAGCTCTCTCCCCAGCTCTCTCCCCCCCCCAGCTCTCTTCCCCCCCAGCTCTCTTCCCCCCCAGCTCTCTTCCCCCCAGCTCTCCTCTCCCCAGCTCTCCTCTCCCCAGCTCTCCTCTCCCCAGCTCTCCTCTCCCCAACTCTCCCCCTCACAGAGGCTGTGTGCTCCTCCATGGCGATCGACGGCTTGTTCATTGTTCATTGCTCCTGCGCCCGTTGGCGACAAAAACAGAAATGTTTGTAGGCCTATTCAGGCTATAATCCACAAAAAAAGGAAACACGAGGACCGGCGTGTCCCAGAGGAGCGATCTCACCCCGTGTTTGTAGAGAATATCTCTCTTTCTGAGCGCGTCCTCTCCACGGAGACGTGCTTCTTGGTCGGTCGATGCAATATCCACAGATTCGGTTTTTCCATTAACTTCCCCGTTGCATTTAACCATATATTTACATGCTGAGGAAATTACTATATCCCGCTGAATACCAGCAATCGCCACACACACTTCCTCCTCCCGTGAGAACCAACCCCTGACATCCCGGTGACGCACCCACTATAAAGGCTCCGTGCATGCTGCGACAGGTGAATATGTAGATGAGGCTTAATGACCCACACCCTCAAACCATACATAAAAGTGGACATTTAACCACTGTACAGATTGAGCATCTTATTTCAGACAGTTTGAAACGCGAGGGTCGTGATTGGCTCGTGCACGGTCCGTGATCGGCCCGTGATCGGTTCGTGATGAAGAGCCGGCCCCCAGTCTGACTTGATACCGCCCCCGTGATAAATAAATTTAATTATTGTGAAGCCAGCTGCAATGGATCATTGATCCACCAGGGGGTGCAGTGGGGTTCCACACTGGAGCTCATGTGAAATCAACTTCGATACAGTAAGCTGGATGTACAGTATGTCTGGTACTAATGTATAGCGGATCTTTGTTAAGATCCATGTCACGGATAGGATCATAGTCTGTGCTAAATAAGAGACATGTAATCATTTACAAAACATCACCATGTTGTTATTTAACAAAATAATGTTTAGTCGAAAAAAACGAACGAGAGGAAATGCAGCCGGCTCTCCCGATTTTTAATCCTAATTTAATCATCTTCACCACGATCATTTATGTTTATGTTCGCCGAATTGACATGAAATCACTGACAAATATGAATATTCTGTATTCAACTTCATTGAAACGATCAGGATCCCTGGGTGTTATTTTTCCCCACAATGACCAAGTCGCTGCAAATTATCCCGTTTATTACATGGCCACATTCTCAACAAAGTAACGACATGACTCCCAATCTTAATTGAAATGCTTTTATGGATTTAGAAAATGTTTTTATTGATTTAAAAAATAGTTGTATGTATTGATTTAAATTGACATGCATCCGCTAAGAGAAATAGTCACTAGACACTTGACACAGTGGCTTTAGGCAAAGCAGAAAAAGAACACTCAAACCGAGAGATGAGTTATTATTACAACGTGACTTCACTATTATTTAACAACTGTTTTTATTGGGTTCTTTTATTTGGGGTTAAGTATAGGTGAATTGCACTAATGTGGGAAGATCGTGATGTCTCCTCCGATCTGCTTTATGATCTTCTTTCTCCCGCTGTGTAGATTGGGGGACCGCCGTCCTCTGTCTTCAATGTTCGACATTGCGTGAAACAGAGGATTTCGACATTCTGTATTCATTGCTTACTTCCTTAAACCTTTTCTCCTCCTTATCTCTTTCATGACTTTTTATTTAATGCTTTATAACAGCTGTAATAGTTCGTTTAGAAATCCTAGAAACACTTTTACGGCAGCTCTCATTTACGGTAACTCCTTCTGACGTCATAGCTACCCACGTATAATATATAAACAAAGTCTTGGCTTTCAGAATATGAAACTTGTTTCTGCAAATTTAGATGATAAATACAACTATGAAGCTTGTAACGGCATAATTACAAGCGGAGAACGGAGTAATTTAACGTTACAGCAGGCATAACAACAGCCAGTGTTTATTTTATTATTATATATAGTCGTTATTCATTTGTTTTAAAGCTCAATAAGGAAGATTTAAACTTTCACACACGTTGACCGGCGAAAAACTCTGCCCGGTTCCCTCAGCCCCCACCACGTTGAATAAACAGAAGGCTGCTTTTGTGGAGGAAGTTACAGCGCTACGTACAGGCCTGGCATATGTACTGCAGCTTTTTCCAGCGGTATCCATAAATCTCTTAATTTTGACCTCAAAGTGCACCAGATTGATGCATTTAACTTCAATATAAAGAAAAACATCTTCTGTTGTAACAACAATAACATTATAAATAGTAACAGAGCTGAACATGGTATTGCACATTTAGCTTTCAGTGTTACTGACCCGAGATGTTTTTATTACATGAATTAAGGTGACTGAGGCTTTTTAACATAGACTTTTCAGTGTCCCACATACCGTTCACCATCCCCCACCCCCCTACTGTATGTTGATTTTTGACTTTGTTTGCCTACATGTAAATGGGTGGCATTTAGTACCTACCCCCCTCTGAGTGAATACCTGCTTAGCTACTTGGCACTAAGTACAGATATGTCTACCCTTTCTTCTTAGAGTTAGCCAAGAGGCTATTTTTCATCTGTAGTTAGTTAGATTTTAAAAGTCAATCTAAAACACATTTCATTTTAAACAAGAAAATACAATACATTTAAAACATGCAACATACACTGTAAACAAAATCTGTAATCTAGGCAGTAAATTGCTGTATTACCCACAGTCATTTACTTTGAATTTGTAATACAGTGTGATACTGTACATTATGCTGCACTGTGGGAATATTATCCTTAGGCGGGAAATGTATGTAAGCTGGAGTCTGAAATAAGCTAAAAATATGTATTTCTTAATAAACTAAATAGGCCACCATTGGTAGCAGTTCGCATTATATACTTCTCAGTAACTGCTCCCCTTAAATTAAATGTATTCTGTAGATTTTGGAGATTCATTAATGCATTTATTGCCATCACCATGCTTTTTCAAGACTCTTTTAAATTCTATCATTTTATAGGCCTATTTAAGTTTCACTTTTCTGAAAATAACAAAGCAGGGTTGAGGAAATATTCCCAACTGCATCTTCAAAAGTAATCCAAATAGCTACATCAGCATCTAGCAAATGAAAAGCTTTCTTTGTAGACACACAGATCAACTGTAGTGGCACAGTGTATATATATATGCTATATTTAGGGTCGATATGTGTAGAATTTACTTTAAAATAGCAGATCACTGTGACCGGATATAGTTTTTTCGGCTTAGTGAACGTGTGTCTCTTCCTCCGCGGCTCCTCCGTGCAGAGAGTTTGCAGCGGTGTGTGTCAGCAACGTGCAGTCAGGGGAGGCACGGATTGGCCGTCGGGAGAGTCGGGACTTATCCCTGGCCAGCTGTGAGTTCTGGAGAACAACACACCCCACCCCCCCCCCGTTGACAATTCACGAGCGTCTAACTCTCTTTCCCCCCCCCCGTCGCACCTTCTAACAGAGACCCCCCACATATCAAATCCCAATTTAACCCCTGGCCTCTGGAGCAGAAATTAAAGAGTTTTAAAAATGTTTACGTTTTGGTAAGTTTTTAGGGAAATGTTGTAATATTGCAACGTTGGCCTTAGGTGGGAGCAGAATTTCTGTATTTCTACTCACATTGTCTGAATAAATATATTGAACAACTAAGGGTTAATTTGCAGGATTGATTGCTTACTTCTTGAACGCCCTCTTGGAAAATAGTGGGAGGGCTTAACATTCCCAGATACTGGTCTTTGGCAGGTCTTAGGCAGGTAACTGGCAGGTAGTAGGCAGGAAGCAGTAAGCTGGAGTCTGAAATAAGATGCTCCATCTGTAGTTGCGAGGCTAATACACATGTATCATAGTTTTCATTTCATTTCAATATAAACCACATGCCTTAACCTTTTCCCCTGCCACTACAGTTTATAAGAAACACTTAGATCAATCTGCGACCGTCACACATTGTCATCATGTAACTATTTTGTTCTTTTATTTGCCTCACCAGAAAACAGTCCCACCTCCTCTTGAAGACATTTTGCCTCCTGCTATGGACTTCAGGTTCACATTAGGTAAGCCCTTGAGTGTGTCAGACTAAAGTTGTTGTTTCAGAGGTTAATTCAAGACGTGTTACGTTTACATTCTAATATAATGAGCATCAGGTAAACGTACCCATTTCTATTTTTTGAATCACTGATGGGATGGAGATGTAAACTATGCAGCACTAGTGTCACCACTCAAAGTCATATTTTAAAACATTATCGACTCCATCATGGAACCTTTGGACAGAAACGTGCCATGCCCTGCATTCATGTAGACTGGCCTGCGCTCTCACTTATGAAGATAAAAGTTGAAATAATCATCTGTTCTTATTTATTCTAGGACCCATGTGCCACTTTTATGTAAATCTCTGAGCATGAGGTGGGGTTAAAAAGAAGTAGTTGGACATTTTATGAACTATATCAATATCATGACTATGTGGTTCATTTTCTTACAAACCAGCCTTTTATTTGATGACTTAAACCCCTTGTAATGCATGTGAATAGCACCTCTGTTACCAGCTAATGTAAACTGTCTCGTTTTGTTTTCAAGACAGATTTGATTTTTGTTGTTGAGGAAAACACATGGTGTGTCCTGATTTGTACTCAATGTAGTGTTTTGTTTGTATATACAGGGAACAGCAGAGGTCGAAGTGCAACAGGCTCGTGATGCATAGCATGAAGTTATACGTTGCCCACGAGCCAGATGCAGTTGGAATAACCATCAAGTAATAACCATGTGTCTCCATGTATGTTAATGTGTTGTGCTTTTAAACAAACTTGTTACTGTTTTGAAATAATCAAATTTTAATAAAAATGTATTAACATGTCCATCATGTTCCCTTTTTTAATTTATTTGTTTAATCTGCAATGTTTCAATGCTATCAAATATTTAAAGGGTTGGATTGAAATCAGGAAGAGTTTGTCGTATATAGGTTCCGGCAACTCAATTGTGTTTTATAATTTACTTGATTTATTCTTGTCTTATGTGGTTCTTAGCAGATTGTTATTTGCATTGGTTACACTTAATATCTTGGCTTTTAATTGTAGGCTCAACTCGTCTTTTCACCTGCAGAAAAAATCACATTAGTGAGTTTACCCAACTCCTATAATTGCTTGGAACCACTTGACACATATTTTTTAAGTTTTAGCAAAGTAACACGTTCTTGAGTATAGGAAAACTAAAGAAAGTACGTTTCACCAACTCAAAAAATGCAAACGTTGACTAAACTCTTAAAATTGCTTGGAACCACTTGACACATATTTTTTAAGTTTTACCAAAGCAACAGTTTTTACAGTGTACTGCAGGGGGGGGGGCGTGGGAAGAAATTGTTAACAAACACTGCTCGAAAATAAATCTACAAAATTGAGAAGTTTTTAACACAGCCGTCAGTTAACCTGTTAAGCCTTGAGCCTGTTTTTCAGGTCTCAGGCTCGAAAATGACATTCCCAGAACAAATGACCATATCTTCCCTTCTAAAAGGGTTAAATTAATAATCTTTTTTCTCAAAGTAATGATAAACCTGTGAGTTGGATGTAGAAAAGTCAGAATCAATATAGATGTTTTTTATTTTAAAGAAAATTCAGATTTTACATAGTAAAAAACTGTAAATTATAGTGTCCGTCCAAAAATTATTTTGTACTTATAGTGAAAACTACCCTTGGATGATGGTAAGGTAGACTAAAAGCTTTAGGAATCCAAAGTACAACATATAATAAGTACCCTGTATCAAGATTGATGCAAAACAAGTGACATTTGACCTTTTGAGAGAGATTTAGCAAAAAACACTCCACCTCTGAGGTGATTTGGGTGGAAACGTTTTTTTTTCATATCTCTGGAACCCATTGGTCGATTTTGATGGTTGACACCTCTTTCTGACCGTTAGAGCCAATAGAATCGAAGGGGGAGTCCCCCACACACACTCATTGTGAAACAAAAAGGTGGGGGCTTTGCGCATGTAATTTTGCATTAGAGTGAAGCTATATTCTAGCTCTGACATCTAGAAACGGAATAGCATGGGTTATCCGTCTTATTGCTCATGGATTATCAGAAATCATTTCAAAGGGACACAGACACATTGGATTAACCTATGGATTAACTTCAGCAGCGTTTTTATCGTTTTAATGCCATTGAAGACCACTTTGGAGAGACTACAGAGCCAAGGTAAGAATGTTAGCATTTTTAGCTACCTAGCGCCACATGTTTTGATGTCTGTTTTTGTTTATAACGTCGCAAATTCGTATAATTCAGTGATAATGAGGGTACCCATGACGATGACGATTCTGTGTCACCTCACGATGTGAATCGATGTCATGGATGTGGAGAAAATATAAATAATAAGGTTTTGTGAGTGATTTTCGGTGCAGTAATCTGTTAGCATTTTTCGCTCGTTGCTAATTCAGAGGCTCAGTGTTAGCATTGTGGGTTTTCTTTAAAAAAAAAAATAAAAAATGATCAGTTAGATGAGTTTCTTCCCGTTACATGGATATAAAACATTCATAGTTTATTAAATGAACATGCCCTCAGACACTGTTTCCTGCAAGATGTTGCGGCAGTGCCCCGGTACCGGGGTCTCTCGGGCTTAACAGGTTAAAAGAAAAGTGGATGAGCCTACGACAAGCTTTACAGCAACTAAGCCCAAATCAAGAAAGTATGATGAATCATACATCTCCCTTGGCTTCACATCTGACGTGGTAGGTGGGGAGGAACCGGAGCCAGCCCGACCCATTAAGCGACATAAGCGGCCGCTTAGGGCCCCGCAGCCATTACTGAGATTTTTTTTTTTTTTTTTTGCTAGGGGGCCCCCCTAGAAAAATATAAATAATCTCAGTACACCGTCGCCGTGATAAGTATGTTTAATTAATTGTAGAGATGTCCCGATCCGATCACGTGATCGGGGATCGGAGCCGATCACGTGATTTTCAAAATATATGGATGTTATGTGACAGTATTTCTGAGAAAAAGTCAGCTGAAATGGTGGCATAGTTGCCACTGCTTTACGTGTCAACAGCATGTTTGAACGTATTTGCAGCAGTAAATGTGGCTGTTTGGCCACTGACGTTGCCATAACAACACCTGAATTTAAATGTGCAACCTCTTTTTGTGACAGATTTTTGCATGAAATTATAATTCTTCTGAATGATATTCCTATTGACAGCTAGTTTCTATGTGAACTTTAGGAGATGGACAGCCAGAGAGAATAAATGAAAAACAGTTATGAAATACTATATGACAAAACAAGAATACAGTTTAAGTGATTTGTAAAATATCCATAAAGAAAAATCTGTTTGCAGTTCTGTTTCATATGGGTGTTGAGAGATGTATCCATAGATCTCTTAATTTTGCTCTCAAAGTGCACCAGATTGATGCTTTTAACTTCAATATTTAAAAGAAAATCTTCCCGGGGGAGCAAGCCCACGGACCCCCTTAGAGGAGGTTAGGTCCACGGTGTGTACATGCTTATTTATACAATATGTGTGCTTATGCTAACATCATAAGACAAAAGTTGGTTCCGTGTTGTGTGTAGTGAGAACGCGCTAGAGTGAGGGGGGCCCCCAAGCCAAAGCTTGCTTAGGGCCCCCAAAGGTCTAGGGCCGGCCCTGGGAGGAACGACCAGTGTGTGTTCTCTTGTTTCAAAACCTTAGCAGCAGAGAGCATGAAACCAAACAAGCTGAAACGTCACTTGGAGACCACACACCCCAATGATGTGATGAGAATATCGTGGTCAGCAGATCTGCTTTGTTAAAACAGCATCTGTCACATATAATGCTCAACTTGCCTCGTATTGTAGTGTAGGTGTTATCCCTGAACGAATACATTTAATTTGGGCGCCAGACAGAGGAATATTTAATATAGCCAGCTGTCAAAAAATAATATGCTTAAACACGCAGAAACAGAGGGATAGCCCGGTGACCTAGCTACTGAAGTTTACAAAGGAAAAATAATAATCAACCAAGTCACTTTCAACATAAAATGTCTGTATTTTTAATACAAATAATAATCAGTACATTAAACAAACAACTCATGTCACAGACTATTTACCAGAAAAACTTAAATCCAGTAGATACAAAAACACAAACAAATAAGTAAAATTAACTCACAAAACATCAATCACTTATGTGACTCCGAGAGCCTACGATTGTTTAAATCATGGGGATTGACTGTGAGTGAGTGTGGGGGGGAAGAAGTCTTTTTTGTCCTTTGTCACTCAGTTTAAGAGTGTAGTTCAAGGGATAGGGATGTGTGAAAGTAAAGTTGTAAAGTTCTGTTTTCCCAGTCCAGAGTGTGGTGTGTGGGTGTAGAGTGCAAGAGGAGGGGAAATGATATTGGTGTAGTGAGAATAACTTTTCTGAGGGTGACAGGCCAGAGTAGATCACCGGATTGCAGGGTTTAACTGGGAAGGGGAAAGTTAAATGTTTCCCCAACAGCTTCTGGGTTCAGTGGCAAAACTCCCCAAAATAGCCTGATTTCTCTGATGAAGTCCACTTTCTTCCTTGCTAGATCCGACTTCCTCTTGGTTCTTTCTCTTTTTTAGTGGGAATGCTGATACAGCATTCCAATTATCTGTTATGCTACGCACGAAATTCTTTATTATTCCGCCGGGTTATTTTGCACCTCTTCTTCTCCCACATTCCATATCGCAGAAACTCCGTTCAAACATCAAAACGTTCAGCTCGGTCGGGAATCGATGGCTATTACTTTTCATAACTTTCATAATTCCAGAGATACATCCCACTGCTCCTTCATACTTTCATTCAGAAACCTCATTCCAACTTTAAAATGTTACACATCATTCTGACATTATTCGTGTATCACAACTTTTAAATCTGATTCATACTTTTAGAGATATTAAACATTGTTCAGACCTTGGTAAAGAGGCCTTCTTCAGATTTTAGAGTGCGTGATGTCACAGCTAGAGTGGAGGGCAGATTTAATTTTGCCTTCATATTTTCTTTTAAACCTGCCATAATTCCCAAACCATAATTTTTCATGAGAAACGTAGGAAAACATCCCGTAGATTGAAAAATAAAAATAATTAAGCAAAATAATTAAACAAAATGCCTCTTGAGGGCATGAAGTGACAAAAACTTTCAACATGTCTCCATTAAACCCCATTGTAAGTTCAGCCTCATATTTCCCCACCACAGCAGCCGCACACCTTTAGTTAATCTGCCAAAAAGGCCACATTATTAACCCGAAGGTACACAAAAAGTACACTTCAGATGCTGAAGTTCCTTGACATGCTTCACACTTTGAAATTTCACCGATATCTGTTACGGTTCTTCAACAAAACGTTCACATGTAAGAGGTTTATCTCTCATTCAGAACAATGCAAATGCTCTCCTATCACCATGGAAACCTTTGATCTCTGGACACGTTGTTAGCTCAAATATAAACACCTGTGTCATGGAACACGATGATGTCATAACTCCAACTGACATGCCCAGAGCAGCAGACTTCAGATAATGGTTAATGATCCTGCCCTCAACAGCTCTACATCAATTATGGGGTGTCATCATATGCCGTTTCCATGGAAACGCATCCCTCGCCATAAAACACGATGTCGCTGTAGCTCCAATGGACACGGTCCGGTCGTCCCACAATCTTCTCCTGTATATCACCTCTCCATGCCTCAACAGCTCTACGTCAAATCTGACATCTCACCATATGCCGTTTCCATGGAAACGCATCCCTCGCCATAAAACACGATGTCGTAACGCCTATGAAAAGGGTCAAAACAGCACCAGACTTCAGATAATGGTTAATGGTCCAGCCCTCAACA